TGGTGGCGGTGGCGGCGGTGGCGGCGGTGGCGGTGGCGGCGGTGTGGGCGGTGGTGGAGGTGGTGGCGGTGGTGGTGGTGGCTGTGGACGTGTCCTGGACTCTTCGAGCGCTTTGGAGGCAGCGAGGGTTGGTGATTCACACGCAGATGGCGTGAAACTCCGTTCCACGGGGTGTCGAGGAGGTGCCGTCCCCTGACTCGCCAGGAGAATGCAGTACAGCAAGTGGGACAATGTCATCTGTCCCTTCTATGTGGGGTCAAGTGTCCCCCTCGCAGGCGTGAGTTTTCTCTGGGTGCTCCGGTTGTCTCCGACGCAAATAACCATTCATTCGTTGGCTGAGAACATTTTTATATACAGAGGACTGCAGAGCTTGGGAAATTTTTGGCACCTCTCACCGCCTGGCTACAACCCGGATTGTCTGTGGTTCCTCGGTAGATTGTGAGATGCAATCTGCATGACCGACAATGCCGAGAAAGAACTAAACGTTCTCATTACATTGCAGGCTTCTTGGAGATGGCGGTGGCTTGGGTACGACTTCACTCAGCTGTGGATTGACCACGGATGATGATGATGATGAACGAGTCTAGGGCGACGCTAATCTCCAGTTTACAACCCTGAGGCAGGAATGTCACATTCCTACGGCAAGGGTGAGTGTATCCATAGAGTAACTGCTCGGGTTGCCGCCCCTAATATTTCAAACAAAAAACGGGGCATGATAATTTTGTTATGCAACTGATGAAATCTGGGCCTTTTCATGCCTGGGGAAGATTCACAGATTTCCCAGGACAGCAGCTGCCTCAACAATAGGACGATGCCGGAAAAAACCCAAGACCGGTGGCAACCCGTGATAGCCACCGCTTACTCCCGCACAAAGCGGTATCGATTTTGTGGACCCCCTTGATGGATGATGGGCTGAGTCGACCCCTGGCTGTGATTTGAACTCGCAACTCACCAGCAGCCGGCCACACGCCCCAATCACTTGCACCACTGAGCCATGAATCCCTCACCAGCGCCATCAACAGCCATGCTCACTCCGCTGCTGGGGAAGCGAACCATCCAACCGGCGGTGACCGGGTTCTACAAGCTCCGACTCTCGTTACGAATCCCGCTCTCCGTATTCCGCCGTAAGTAAAATACAACTCCACTGCTGGATGGAGGCCTCCCGAGTCGCCACCGTCTGCCACAACCGCTCGACGTAACATCCCCGTGCACGAGCCCATTTCTTGCGATTGAGGCCGCCGTAAAATCCCTACTTGTGCCCAAGACGTCCCGTTTGTTATTTTGGTTGATGAAAATATATATGTATTTTCGATTGGAATTAAATCTGCAAGCTCAAAGGAGGTATTTTTCTCGAAGCTACCAGCACCCTATTTTCATAAGCGCCGCTCCTGGAATTACATTGCAAACACGCTGGGTTCTGGAGGTAAGAAAGGAAAACAAAAACCCACTTGGGCTTCCCTCAGTGATGCATGAGGAGCGAGGTAAAACACTTTCTCTGGTTATTAACCGATAACGGAGGCTCGGGGGGGGGGGGGTAGAGAGGCGGGGGGGGAGAGCGCGTTGCACCACGGCCCCCACGCTAAATGTTTTTTTGTTTCGTGAACTCCACGAAGGCCGCGCGCTCTCCCGAGATCTCCCCGCCGATGGAGGGAACGAGCGCTAGCGAGCTCCTCGCCCCGTGAAATGAAGGACGCCCTGTGGCACTTTTGCGATTTGCGCGTTCGCCAGCTCGCGCGCGATCTCCACGTGGATTATTCACCTGGGAGTTCGAATCACCGCTCCATCTACGCGGTGTCCATCCCGTGCCGAGGGTTTCCACATTTGGCTTCCGCCGGGTCCTCAGCCTCGCATTGTGCCCCGCCCACAAGCGTCCACAATTGTTACGTTGTTAATAGCTGATGGGTCTGCAACTCCCGTTCGTTTTCCAACCAATAGGTCCCCCTCTTGCCGTCTCTCGTTGTAATCCATCCAGGAATTCATCTCTCAACGCTTCTCTGCACACTTTGCTCCGTTTTCTCTGCCGATGCTCACCTTTCCGATACAAATGTCACAGCAGGGCTTAAACGCCGACTGCACCCGCACACGCTTCCAGCTATGCACATTAATTAATCATAACTCTACCGTTTTGATCTGTGCCCCCACCGATAAGCTGACACCTGTTGCAGGGACTTTGAGAAAACATTCCGGAGTTGTGAATTGTTTAGTGTCTTGGGTCAAAGTGCACGGCTAGGATAGCTGCGGCCTGGAAAGGTCATTCAGGGTCATCGCCGCTGTGGGCCACACGGCAACGGCACGAAACAGCTGGAGGACAGAGCGGACGGAGCGGATGCTGCAGTCGTCGGGAGGGATCATCACCATCACAGTCCAACGGCTACGTGGAGACGACTATCCAGGAATCTTTGGGAAGAATCCGATGGAAGGGATCGCGGTTTGGAGGACAAACGGTGAGATCCAGCAGATTGGCAGGCGACAGGGCGGCACTGCCTACCGCAGGGGGGGGGGGGGGGCGGCACCTTATTGGTTACGAAGCCAAAAGTGAAGTGGCAGCAGATTTGAGAATTAAAATAAAACTCGGGGAGTGACTCCAAGTAATGCGGGTCTCGAGGAGAGAACGCTGAGAGAGTCCTCGCCTGCGGTCGTGGGCGAGGAGATACAATCGGTGAAAGAGTTGAGCTGTTTGGGTAGCCAAGTCACATTCGACGGGCGGCATTCTCGAACAATCTCAACGAGGATTGGAATGGCCCGAGAGGAATGCCTTCAGAAGGAAAAAAAGCGGCTTTTTTTTTACTAAATGCTTTGATGCCAAAATTCTAAGGCAACACTTAATGGAAATACTTCCTTCACTAATCGGTTTTGTATCAATCCCTGAAATGAAATAAAATTTAATACCGCGGACTAAATTACTTTTCTCTTAGATTATTTTTTGCTCAAAGCTACATTGTTTTTTAATTAGGTAAAATAAACCCGGGGACTGTTTTGACCTCGCTGAGCCTCATCAGCAACTCCCGACCAAAGCGGGGGTACCCACAGCAAACAGCCGCGACGACGTTCATTCTAATACATGTTGCCTGCCCTGCCCTGCCCTGCGTGCGTCCGTCCTGCGCACGAACGGACCACTTACACCGCCGGATTATATCGCCGACGTTGCGATAACCGTCTCCTGTCCACTGCCACCACCGGAGCTCTCTCCCTCCCACAGGCGGCGTGGCCACCGTCTGCGTCAGCGCCGCCGGGCGATGCGACGAGGCTCGCGGCGCCCCAGCCACCACCCCGCCGGGCACCCCCGGCGCACGACGAGAGGGCAATCCGCGATGTCTTTACCCCCCACCCCAAAACCACCCCTCCTTCGCACCGCCGCTCGGTGGACACCCGCGGCAACGCTCGTCCACCCCGCCACTCTGCCCTCTCGCCCGTGACAGTTGCAACATGCCAACTGGACGCCGTTGCTCTCCGATGACTTTTTGCTCCGTGCCACTCGGCGACGAACGGTTTGGCAGCAACAAAAACAACTCGCCGGAGAAGAAGAATTCTGGCCCCTGCTCAAGTGAGCACTCGGGCAGCCGCTCTAATAAAGCCTCTCGCACCTCCGATCCGCGCGGTTGGCTACGTGCGGTGCGGAACAAGTTCAAGGTACACACGCACTGACGCGTACGTACACAACGCGAGCCGCGCTAGCCCGGCTCGCGTGTGCCGTGACGCTGACGTCGCGCGCGACTTGTGTACCGACCACGTGACGTCATTAGTCCCGCCCCTGGCCATGCTTGACCCCGAGCCAGATTCCGATGTTGCCTCTGTGAGGCCGACATAGCGCGGCTCGGCTTCGTCTCTCTCGGGGTCGGTAAAAACGCCAGTGGCTCGGATGTGCAAGTGGAAAAGGGGGTACGATTGTGCCCATTGGGTGGCCCTGAGATCGTGGTGGAAATTCCACATTACAATAGCAAAAGTCAAGTGTATCCATGGCACGTGCCCCGCTCGTTAATAATTACTTTACTGGACCCGGAGGGATGAAGGTCAGGCTTGTCACCTGCGGTACAAAATATACCGCGGAGAACTGCACGTGAGTGCGTCGTGTTGAGTGGCCCATCGCCATCATTACGCGACTGACAAAAACCAGGACTGTTAAATGTCCCCGGGACAGCTGGCAGCCTCAAACAAGGGGGGCGATCCTGGGAAGATTGAGGACAGAGGCGGCAAGCACCCAGTCGATGGGGCTCGTTCGCATCCCAGCTGGGTTGCGAACTCTAGGTCTCTCCCGCGCGACACCTCGCCGGCTGGCGGATCTCGATCGACAAACCGAACGTTCGTGAGGGCTTCCGCGGATTTTCGCTTGACCTTTGAAGTTACAGCCGCGCTGATGATAAACTCCCTCTGCAGCACGAAAGAGCACGGCATTGTTCGAGCGGCCGCGCGTTGCGGGAGAGTGGCGGCACACCCACAGAATTGGCATAAACAAAACAAAAATGAATGCTGTATACTGTACAGTACCAATGTGGTCATCGGTCATTCAGCTGTAGACAAAGACGATGAGGAACTGCCAAGTAGATGACGCAACAGGGGAATACATCAACTCAGCCATGGAGAATAGATATTGATGGTGGTAATGGATGATTATTATAGATTAAATATGACGAGAGGGAAAGTGGGAACAAGTGGGTTAGATAACAAACACGGCAGCCTGTAGCTATCGCTCTCGCTGTTGAGGGAGTAAGTGGCACGTGCGCAGGACACGCGGCTCAAACAGCGGCAAAGGGGCAGCTGGGGCGGCGAGCACTTTCAATCCACCGAGGGTTTGATCGATGGTGCGTGATGGATTTATCACGACGACGTGGCGAGGCCATCATCTAGCAGCGAACAGACCATGGCCCATCACGATGACGACGATGACGCTGAGCGAGAAATGTGACTTCCGTTTAAAACAAAGCATCCAACCGGAATGTTGAATGTCTCGCGCCGCAGCGGAATCGAACGGGGGCCCCGTCTCGCGGAGCGGCGCGTCCTACCGGACTCGTCCTGGCTCGCCGCCTGGTGCGCCAGCAGCTCCGTCTCCGTGGCGAGGACCTCCTCCAGCGCCAGCTCGCGCACGCGGGACGCCGCGAGCTCCCGCGCGGGGCGCCCCACCGCCCGGGCCTTCGCGCCACGGCGGCGGCGGCGGTCGCCGTCGCCGCCCGGGGCCCTCGCCGACGTCCCGCCGGCCGCGAGGGCCGCCGCGGGCGAGGTCCCTCCTCCGTTGGACGGCGCCGCCGCCGCTGGGGCCGCCGGGGCCGACGAGAGCGACGAGAGCGACGACGACGTCGAAGACGGAGGGGGGGGCGGGGCCCTCGGAGGAGCCCGGGGGGCGGCCGGCGGCGCGGTGCCGACCCTCTCCTCCAGCAGCCGTCGGCGGAGGCCTTGGGTCAGCCGCTTGAGAGAGAAGTCTGCGGCGAACTGAACATGAAGAGTCATCGTTATCACTCGCGGCCAAGGTGACAATTCTCTTGATCTACCCACGAGCGCCTTGCCGAGGCTCAAGACTCTTTGTAAACGCGGCCGGTCCTCGGCTATTTCGGGATGTTTTTGGGCCAATTACGCCGATGAGTGGTAGTTTCCCCTAAAATATTCTCGCCAGGCTTGCCCCTGCTTGGCTTCCCACCTGTGATGAGGCCGGGCACGTACAGGGACATTTGGCGACGAAAACGCAAACGGTAGAGACTCGAGGTAGCGTGTTCACCGCTCGTTGCAGAGGTTCACAGTTCGAATCCAGCGGTCGCCCTGGTTAATACTGGGCGTGTATTAGCCATAACAACGCCCACGCACCATCCGATTCACAGCGGGCGTAAAAGATCCCCCCGACGACATTCGCAAGAGTAGGCAAACCGTGTGCAGGCGTCAGGGTCCGAATTTGCCAAATTCAAAAGTTACACCGCACATCACTCAATTGGGATCGAACACACACACAGCGCCGATCGTCGCCCCCGACTGGCAGACGAACGCCTCAGGCCACTCGTGCGAATGAGACTCTGTGCTGATCTCTTGGAGTGCTCACCTGCTTAAACAACATCAACTTGAACTCATACAACAGATCTCAACATCAAAGTGTTTCTTGTGGTCAATTCCTCTGATGCTGATTCATTCCTTCTGCCAGTCCTGAGCTGTGGCACAGTTGAAAACCAGCCTCAAAGATCCATTCTTACAGTCTCATCATCATCATCACCAGTACCGTCTTGCTTGAAGTCTTCCCCTTTAGGTCTTCCCCTCGGTTGCCAACCGACACAGAGATTGCTACCCCAATGTCTGCGTGGGTAGCCTGCCCCTTCTCCATCCAGAACATGTGTCCCGCTCATTGCAACCTCCTCCTCTTGGTTTGGCACACAGCAGCCTGGTGCACAAATGTCTGTGGGTCTCTGTGTGAGTCTATAGGTCCCTATGTGACACTGTAGGTCTCTAGGTATCTAAGAGCGGATGGTGGGGGACTGTCAGGGCAGGTCTATGGGTCTCTGTGTGAGTCTATAGGTCTCTATGTGACTCTGTGGGTCTCTAGGTATCTAAGAGTGGATGGTGGGGGACTGTCAGGGCAGATCTATGGGTCTCTGTGTGTGTCTATAGGGCCCTATGTGACTCTGTGGGTCTCTAGGTATCTAAGAGTGGATGGTGGGGGACTGTCAGGGCAGATATATGGGTCTCTGTGTGAGTCTATAGGTCTCTATGTGACTCTGTGGGTCTCTAGGTATCTAAGAGTGGATGGTGGGGGACTGTCAGGGCAGGTCTATGGGTCTCTGCGAGTCTATAGGTCTCTATGTGACTCTGTAGGTCTCTAGGTATCTAAGAGTGGATGGTGGGGGACTGTCAGGGCAGGTCTATGGGTTTCTGCGTGAGTCTATAGGTCCCTATGTGACTCTGTAGGTCTCTAGGTATCTAAGAGTGGATGGTGGGGGACTGTCAGGGCAGGTCTATGGGTATCTGCGTGAGTCTATAGGTCCCTATGTGACTCTGTAGGTCTCTAGGTATCTAAGAGTGGATGGTGGGGGACTGTCAGGGCAGGTCTATGGGTATCTGCGTGAGTCTATAGGTCCCTATGTGACTCTGTGGGTCTCTAGGTATCTAGGAGTGGATGGTGGGGGGCTGTCAGGGCAGGTCTATGGGTCTCTGCGTGAGTCTATAGGTCCCTATGTGACTCTGTGGGTCTCTAGGTATCTAAGAGTGGATGGTGGGGGACTGTCAGGGCAGGTCTATGGGTATCTGCGTGAGTCTATAGGTTCCTATGTGACTCTGTAGGTCTCTAGGTATCTAAGAGTGGATGGCGGGGGACTGTCAGGGCAGGTCTATGGGTCTCCGTGTGAGTCTAAAGGTTCCGAGACGTTCTACCATTGCTATGGCCGGAGGCAGTCTAGGACCGTATGAGCACAGTGGTGACCTCGCGCAATGTGGCACCTGATTTATTGCTGAGTCGGCCCTTGACCGGGATTTAAACTTTTAACTTTCCGATAGTCGGTCAGGTGCGCGCTAACCACGGTGCCAACCAGCTGGAGCACGCGAGGGAAGCCTGCAACAATATTTACGGTGGCTGCCAAACAAAACTCAACGGAATTGTACACGCCGTTTCCATCCTGAATAAACACCTCATTCAAAACCCAAACATTGCACCTCCTGGCTTGGACATTGGTCCGTGACCACTCGTGTACTGTATGCTGGACTTCTTTCGCACCGCACGTAGACGACCGTGCTAATCGGAGGTGCGAAGACACCGGTGGTGTTACCATCAAACGCATCAGAACATCGACGGTCCGGTGCGCACATCTCCTTCAAAATCGGAAAACGAAAGAGGCAAGCCACAGCAGTGCGACTGTGCCCACCACGCCCCCCGCACAAACTCCGGACCAGACAGAATCGTGAGCCGCTGCAGGAGAGGGAACAGCAGAACTACACGAACTCTCCTTTCCCTCCTGAAGCCCTCTCGTCGTGACGAGCAGCAGACCTCGACAGTGGTGGCATCCACCTCCTGGGCAATGTTGCTGCCACACGCAAGAATAGAATATTGAGATTCTCGGGAGAGATCATGTCACGGACGTGTACAGTGTTAAACTGAACACGCGTGTACACACTCGCCCAAGGTATTGGATGGAAGAGATGACGTTGATCGACTGTACTGTGCGTAGGTAAAAGTAAAGATAAAGGCGCAGGTATGAAATGGCTTTCTCTTGCCCCTGCTGGAGGAAAGGCCTTCCCTAGAGGGAGCTTCAAGCAGCCACTCTAGATGGCAATTTGGCCTACTCTTCCACGCGGGCCAGATGTGTTGGAAGAGGTGGGGACACCCACAAAATTCTCCACCACATGCGACCTCCCCATCGACTGTGGTAAACCAAATTCAACAGCTGCTTGATGGACAGACACGGAGGGAAGAGAGACGCGGGAGAGAGAGACACGGAGGGGTTGACGTGAATTGCACGATTATTTCAATTTCCAGACCGGGAGATAAAACGGGCCATGTCTGGATTACAGGTCCTGAGTGCTAACAACACCACTGTAGCATCACATTTTATATAGCAATAAGTATTTACATCGTTAACCAGGAAACCTTCACTGGTTCTCAATATATTTTTATATATACAAGGTTTTTTTTAAATCTGGGTTCCTTCCTGAAAGATAATCCAATATCATATGGTCAAGTATTGAAAAACAGAGCACTCTTGAAAATTTGTTTTTCGAGTCAGTGAGCCTTTGTAAATTATTATAGCTCGAAATTCATTCATTCATTGTGCCTGGGCAAGCTTCTGCTGGTATGGAAGTGATAAACAATTGGCAAGCGTTGTCCCACTGGAGCCAGAGTGTCCATCACAAGGTCATTCTAGGACAAATGAAACTGTTACAAACTTTGTAGTTGCCCTATAATATTGCTCGGTCGTTTGCATGTTAGTAAATTTTGGTGAGTACATTTCGCTTCGTACAAAATGCGAGTACACGTTAGTCAATCGACTTCAAATGTCACGACAGTGCGCTTTGTGTCCACGAGCATCACAAATTAAAATTAAAAAGAGCACACACGAACTTGCGAAGCTGCCGCATGTCAACACAGCAGGATGGCCGTACGACGTCTCCTCACCTCTCCTCCGTGGGTGTCAAAGATGCAAAATATTCCAGGGTGAGTGCGGTTGTCCCAATCTTCAAGCGCGCGCATTTTAGGGTCTGAAGGTCCTCGATCACCACCACCAGCAGCAGCAGCCCTTCGACCAAGTCCCCTTAGAGCAAATGCGGAGGCCGCTTTGCTGTTCCATTTCGCCACCTCCACAAACTCAGGCCCTCCGCCAGGCATCATCCCTGGGCGGCCAGCCTGAGCCATGTAGCCTCCCGGCCCTTCCATGTCATCGGCAGCGTCTGAGATGTCACCACCACCACCGTCAGCAGCAGCAGCACCGCCAGCACCGGCCCTGGCACCAGGCAGTTCTCCCCCACCCAAGAATCGAGCAGCGCCACGCCCAGCCGTGCCGCTCCCGGCAGAGACCAGGGTTCGAACCCGGGTCCCCGGAGATCCGAGGTAGGACCAGAAGGCCAGGCAGAGGCAGGCGAGAAGCAGAGACGCGGGCCGCAGGAGGATAAAGCGGACGGCGCGGCCGCAGAGAGAGCACAGCCCCATGGTGGCGAGGGCGATCGTCTGGATGTGAGAGGGCTGTCGTCTGGCTGAATGAGCCACTGAGCCGATCTACTGCCTACACCTCAACACAATCATCACGACGCTAAGCCAAGCGATGGCAGTGGGGTCCCAATGACAATGAACTATTATAAGTTAATCGCGTGCTCTATGCAGACGACATATATACATAATACAATGCTAAATCGTGTCCAATTCGCTGCTCAAATTCTCGAACAAATTCAAATGAGACCGTCTTGTGTATTGACAATTCGTATAGTAACACTGCACTGCGATTCGCTACACGGGTTTACATGCAATTATCAATGCGCACAGTAATACAACTAATGTACAAGAACGTCGCCTGCTGCTGTTCGATAATTTGACGGGGTGACACTTGTACCGAGATGATAACACACCGTGTAATCTGGGTGTGTGGATGGGCCCCTACCTACAACGCCTTCAAATGGCTCGGCAAGCCCACACCATCACACATGCAATCCGCCTCGCGCGATTTGCAAGCTACACATACCATTATACTTTATCGGTGTCGGTTTTAAATATAGTGCTCTCTCTATATATACACCGGCACACGTAATATAATGTTCAATGATGTAGCTACTCACCCCTTGATAGCGCAGCAGTAAAGATCAAATTGTCAGCAGAGAGCGCCCGCTGACGACCGCGCACAATGCAGACCGCGAGCTATCAATTCGTGAATTATTCAAGCAGATACCCGCACGTACGAGAGTAAACATACCACGCTCGCACACACAACCCACCCACCGCCGTACGCCCGACGTTCAGACCAAGGTCGCAATCAGCGCCACTCGGTCCGGACATCCGAGCGCGCCTGGCCGCTCCAGCAACGCAAGAGACCGCTGTGCGTGTGTCACGCGCGAGCAGCCAGGCTCGCGCTACGTGTGTTGTTGGTCGTATTGACCGTGTGGCAATCCCGCAAAGTGCTGTGCGCCGCGCCGCGCTGCGTGCTGCGTGCACACGACCCGTGCGTGCGCCTTGCCGGCAGGCTGCGCTGGGCGCCGCTGTGGGGGGGGGGGGCGGGCAGCAGAAGCAGCACTGCGGCAGCACGGAAACCACACACAGTGCGGAGGGGAGGAGCAGAGGCGGTGTGTGTGTGTGCGCTGTGTGTGTGTGCGCTGTGTGTGTGTGCGCTGTGTGTTTATGTGCGCTGTGTGTGTGCGCCCTGTGCTCTCTGTGTGTGTATGCGCGCTCTGTGTGATTGTGTTGGTGCGCTCTGTGTGTGTATGCGCGCTCTGTGTGTGTGTATGCGCGCTGCGTGTGCTCTGTGTGTGTGTTGTATGCGCTCTGTGTGTTTGTGCTGTGTGATTGTGTGTGTGTGCTCTGTGTGCATATGAGCACTGTGCGTGTGTGTGCGCTGATGAAAGAGGGATGCGTGTCCCGTGTGTGTGTGCTCTGTGTGTGTGTGTCCGGTGTGTGTGTGTCCTTTGTGTGTGTGCTCTGTGTGTGTGTCCGGTGTGTGTGTGTGTGCTGTGGGGAGCGGTGGTGCAGTGGTTAGCGCGCTGCGCTACGAACCCGGACACCAGGATTAGAGTCCCGTTCACGATCAACAGCAGTGAACGAGCACTCGGACCGCTCCCTGGGCCTCCCCGAGGACGAAGGCAGCCGGGCGCGGCGCTGGCCACCCACCCGCTCGCGGCGCCTCCATAATGTCGTCTCTGACAGCACTTGGCCCAACAGTGCGTTCAAGGCTATACGGGGGATCTTTGTCTGTGTGCCGCTATCGAGCGTCCCTGCTGTAGGGAATCTCTCTTAAGGATGCCTCCCTTAAAGGGACGCTTGCTCTACCAAGCAGAGTTACCAGTCCAGGTCTGTACATCGTTATAATGTTGGTACTGTACCGCATCCCACAACACCAGCTGACGGTCGCCTCTCTCTCTTAAAGGTGTCCAATGCTTGCGTGGTGGGGTTTGATGGATCTCGACAGCATTGGTCTCTGTCTCAAGGATGCACCGTGCATTATGCGTCTTTTTCTTAAGGGTGCCGCTCTCTTAAAGGTGCATTGTGTATCACACGAGTATATGTGCGTCTGTCTTTCGGCGACATCTTCCTGCATGCGCACACCACGCGGTCTAATAACATTGACGTTTGCCTTGAGGGCTAAGCATGCTTGAGCCTGCAGCGTTAGACTGCACTCCGATGCTCCCACGACTAATGCTGCCCATCTTTCACTGACCGGCGTGGTGAAGTATGGTCAAACAGCCCCCGTAGCCGACACGGCGTAGCAGTGAATTGACCAAGAACTGGACATGATCCTTATCGAGTGTCTGGACTTCTCTCGACACGGTGCACAGCCCACGGCGCCTCCGTCTGCAAGGCGCGCCGGTGCATCCTCCTCCTCCTCCTCTCGCCGTGAGCGTCTCAAGGCGGCCTCCCTGTAAGGCGCCCTGCAGGATGACGACTACTGCGAGTGGACAGGATCTCCCTTTCAAGTAGAATTCCCTGTCACCGGGGAAGTCTAGTATCCGCGGGTTCTGTGGTATCCACACAAACTCCTGTTAACCCGCGGGGCTATTTCGATTAAACGCAGTTTGCCCCCTAAATGAAAACGTGGGTAATTATCGGATCAGGCGATGTTCGTCTCTTGCATGACTGCAGATATGAGGGGTTCTAGAGCATTCGCGTCTGGCGAGAGGGAACACCCCTTGCTGCTCTATGAAGCGTGCCGCTTTAGAGGCGACGAGTGGTCTTTATGCGGCGAGTTTAGGTGTATCAGTATTAAAGGTGACTGAAAATCTTGCAGTTCCTGAAGCCGCACGTCTTTCTCACGTTATAATCAGCCGTGCTGCTGACGTCTTAAGGCTACCCCGTGTCTGTGATGTTATCAGTGACCTCATTCTTAATGGTCTCTTTAAAACAAACACAACAATCCCTATCCGCTGTTCGCCTTCACTGAGCGTCTTAAAGGCGCACGTCTCCCACTGCTCGGTGTGCCTTTGAAATGGGAATCACTTGTCGGGCTGTCTCCCATAATAGGGAACTGCACCTGCCGCTACATGGCGTGTCACTCTTAAGGGTATTCTATGGTTCTTTCGGTAAAGGCACGTAGATAGAAAAAAAAATAATAATAACAAATAAAAATAAAGTGATTAAATATATCACGATCGAAACGTCGTGATATGTATTATATATTTTTCTATCTACGTGACTTTACCGAAAAAAACCATAGAATATGAGTTCCTGCAGTCACGAAAGTTTCAAGTCAAAATTTACTCCGAAGGAGTTGAAGTTTTCGTGACTGTTGTTTTTTGTGACTTTACCGAAAAAACTAAAGAGTATTACTCTGAAGGGCTGCGCCATTTCTTACAATAATGGTTCTTCTCTGTTTCAAGAGCGCCCTCTGCCGGGCAATATTAGCAGTGTCGTCTCCCAGCGGAGCAATGTCTTATTCTTAGGTTTTTTCGGTAAAGTCACGTAGGTAAAACAACAATGTCTCCCAGCAGTGTCTCCCAGCAGTGTCTCCCATCAGGGCAGTGTCTCCCAGCAGTGTATCTCAGCAGTGTCTCCCATCAGGGCAGTGTCTCCCAGCAGTGTCTCCCAGCAGTGTCTCCCATCAGGGCAGTGTCTCCCAGCAGTGTCTCCCAGCAGTGTCTCCCATCAGGGCAGTGTCTCCCAGCAGGGCAGTGACTCCCAGCAGTGTCTCCCAGCAGTGTCTCCCATCAGGGAAGTGTCTCCCAGCAGTGTCTCCCAGCAGTGTCTCCCAGCAGTGTCTCCCATCAGTGTCTCCCAGCAGTGTCTCCCAGCAGGGCAGTGTCTCCCAGCAGTGTCTCCCAGCAGTGTCTTCCATCAGTGTCTCCCATCAGTGTCTCCCAGCAGGGCAGTGTCTCCCAGCAGGGCAGTGTCTCCCAGCAGTGTCTCCCAGCAGTGTCTCCCAGCAGTGTTTCCCAGCAGGGCAGTGTCTCCCAGCAGTGTCTCCCAGCAGTGTCTCCCATCAGGGCAGTGTCTCCCAGCAGTGTCTCCCAGCAGTGTCTCCCAGCAGTGTCTCCCAGCAATGTCTCCCAGCAGTGTCTCCCAGCAGTGTCTCCCAGCAGTGTCTCCCATTAGTGTCTCCCAGCAGGGCAGTGTCTCCCAGCAGTGTCTCCCAGCAGTGTCTCCCGGCAGTGTCTCCCAGCAGGGCAGTGTCTCCCAGCAGTGTCTCCCAGCAGTGTCTCCCATCAGGGCAGTGTCTCCCAGCAGAGGAGTGTCTCCCAGCAGTGTCTCCCAGCAGTGTCTCCCAGCAGTGTCTCCCAGCAGTGTCTACCAGCAGTGTTTCCCAGCAGGGCAGTGTCTCCCAGCAGTGTCTCCCAGAAAAGGAGTGTCTCCCAGCAGTGTCTCCCAGCAGTGTCTCCCAGCAGTGTCTCCCAGCAGTGTCTCCCAGCAGTGTCTCCCAGCAGGGCAGTGTCTCCCAGCAGTGTCTCCCAGCAGTGTCTCCCATCAGGGCAGTGTCTCCCAGCAGAGGAGTGTCTCCCAGCAGTGTCTCCCAGCAGTGTCTCCCAGCAGTGTCTCCCAGCAGTGTCTCCCATCAGGGCAGTGTCTCCCAGCAGAGGAGTGTCTCCCAGCAGTGTCTCCCAGCAGTGTCTCCCAGCAGTGTCTCCCAGCAGAGGAGTGTCTGGTCTTGATTAGAAGGGAGCGGTGTCTCCCAACGGAGTTTTCCAGCTCTAACGGGGGTCCCCTGTTTTAAAGATGTTTCTTAAATGGACCCTGTGCTTCTACTATAGGCATCTCTCTTAAGGATGGATGTCTCGTTTGTTGGTTTTCAGAGGAAACTTCGCTTGTATCTTTGAGCTTCGGTTTGTTCATCACATCAGGGAGAAAGTAATGCAGTTTTTGTAAAAATAAAATGCTTTTTTGTGCCTGTAAATCGAGACAGTTTTGGGACAAACTGGTTTATTGCTTTGTTACTCTGCGCCTTTTTGATTTTCTTTCCCCCGAATGTCTTGCCAATGGTGCCATATGCGTCACGTTACGAGTCGAGGAATCCATTCGGATCACTCGAAGAGCAGATGTATCAATAACCTCGTGTTCAAGAACGTCCCGCGGAAGTGGATACCACAGAACTCTATCGGTACTTCTGAAATCCCTGGAAGCCACCCCTTGTCCGCACTGGGGGGCGGTGGGAGCAGCACTCAGCTGCCGACTGACAATCAACCGCAAGGTTTGTGTTCGTGCACCATCTACTTTCATCTTGTGTAGTTGATAGCAATGGGACTGAGACCACCTGCGCTCGGGAACCCGGTTTATTCGCGGGCAGCTCCACAGCTTCAATGGCAGGAGCTGAGTTGGTGGCAGCGCAGCGCGACCTGCCCACTCCTAGGACGATTGCGATAGTCGTGGATCTCACGGCAACCACAATATATACATCGTGCAACGATTGTACACGTCGCAGTGTCGTGGCATCACGACAACTCGAGTAGGCCGTGAGCAAAGGTGATGTCCCGAAATCTCACCGATGCCCTCACGCGCATCGAGGCTCTCGCCACCCCCTGGAGGCGGCGCGTGTCCGCGCCCTCGTCGTGAGGTGAAGGACGCGGCGTCAAAGCTTCGTGCAGCGATGCATGGACACGTGCCGGGCGCACGTGCTGCGGCGTGGATACCGTGCAGGATGAACGTGTTGAATGCGCTCGGGGGGGTGGGGGGGGGCGTCAGAGCCGCGATGTGGCGACAAAACCTCCGAGCGCGCAGCATTTAGACATTTACACTATTAGACATTTAGACATTTACACACTTAGACATTTACACATTTAGACATTTACACACTTAGACATTTAGACACTTAGACATTTACACATGTACACATTTAGACATTTACACATTTAGACATTTAGATACTTACACATTTAAACATTTATACACTTAGACATTTACACATTTAGACATTTAGACATTTACACATGTACACATTTAGACATTTACACATTTAGACATTTAGACATTTAGATACTTACACATTTAGACATTTATACACTTAGACATTTAGACATTTAGACATTTACACATGTACACATTTAGACATTTACACATTAGACATTTAGACATTTAGATACTTACACATTTAGACATTTAGACATTTACACATTTAGACATTTACACATTTACACGTGTACACATTTAGACATTTACACACTTAGACATTTAGACATTTACACATTTAGACATTTAGACATTTAGATACTTACACATTTAGACATTTAGACATTTACACATGTACACATTTAGACATTTACACATTTAGACATTTACACATTTACACGTGTACACATTTAGACATTTACACACTTAGACATTTAGACATTTAGACATTTACACATTTAGACATTTAGACATTTACACGTTTACACATTTAGACATTTACACATTTACACACTTAGATATTTACACATTTACACACTTAGACATTTACACATTTAGGCATTTAAACATTTACACATTTAGACATTTACACATTTACACATTTAAACACTTAGCCATTTATACACTTAGACATTTAGACATACACACATTTAGACATTTAAACATTTAGA